ATCTGTGATCGAAGTGCATATTTTAACGCTTAACTGGCTTAGCTATGCATTAAGACAGTGATATTAAAGATCAAACTGCTGAAGAGCCCAGAATATGAACGCAGCGTGCTAAGTTTTACGTTAAGCATTTATCTCCCACTGGAAAAAAATAAAAAAGTAGTAACAATTGTATAGGCTATGTTAAAGAGCTATTTACTTGTTCTTACCCTTAAATTATAGTTTTAATGGTGTAACCTAATATATTTATAATGTTAAATAACATTTTTAAATAAGATTAGTTTAGATGTTACCACATAAAGCACATTTTTAGATTATCTTTCCGCTTAACGTGGCTTATGCATTAACACTTTAAAAGACTAAATTCAGTTACCTTGATGATGCAAACTATGCAGGCAAGCAGATGAACCTAATATAAACTAAACGTTTATAAACTTTGCGTTCATATTCTGTGCTCATCTTCTTCTTGCCTATTATTATCTGTATTAACAAACTGTAGCCGCTACTGAATTAGGTCCTTAGCGCCGTAGTCCATTATGCAACATTAAGTGTTTTATTTATGTATTTATTTATCTTATTTACTTTTTTTATTTGATTTTTTTAATGGAAAATTAGTTTTCCCCGCTTGTTGTTTTAGAACATTCATTTTCTTACTACACGACGTGAATTTTGCTTGCATAATTTATTTTCTACAATAAATGAACGATGCTTGTATAGGCCAAATAAGACTTGTTCTGCAGCTTACACCAACTTTATTGAGCCTATATTGTTAAATAAAATAAGTAGACTGGGGCCTATAATAGATGTTTGTGTATTATTATTATTATTATTATTATTAGCCTATTGAATGATCCTCCTGCTATTGCTAAAATAACAATCAAATCGGATCAATTTACAATTATATCACAGTTCTAATTATTAAATCCTATAAATTTGTCTGTAAAGTAACTTTTTTAGAAAAGTTACTTGCTATTGGAAACCTGTTTGATACCAGTCATTACTTTTTAGCAATTTAACAGGCTTTTACAACAACAACAACAACAACAAAGCCAACTGGGGTGGCACAGGGCTGCCACCCAAAGAAAAAGCATTGCCATCCCATGTGCCACCCCAGATTTATCCCAGGATAAAATATAAATGTAAGCAGTGTACTGAATTTTAGCAGCTGCGCTTTAATGTGAAGACATAAAAAAGATGTAACAGTTACCGCAAAAAATGGCAAGAAAACACGGCTGCTCGCGCTGTAGTCAACTTCATTACTCTTACGAACGGCTTCTTTTTGGTGAGTCAGAAACACTAGCACAACCAGTGTAGCCAGGTAGCCCAATTCACAAACAAATGGACTGTTGTTCCATTATTATATACAATATTATTTTCCACAATGCTTCTCATCGTTTGTTTTGACTTGCGACGTGTCCACGTGAATACTTATCCGAGCGCGCTCCACATCATCATGGATAGCCTACATTTGACATCCGACAAAATAAAATGATCCCGATCTAGTCTAATCTTAACTAGACTGACATTTTTGAAAGAACTTCCTGTTGGCTAATTGACAAGGTCTTTTCTTAGGTGGTCGCTATTGCTTGCGTGTTCTGTTTGACCTTTCATTATGCCTACTGACATTCCTACTTAATAAGAAAGCACTAAACCTGTGATTTATATATCATCCAAGTAGCCTAATAAACTTTTTGCGTATAGAGACATTAGAATGTGTTCAGTGTTTAATAGACAGTGTCTTGGTGCCCTGGATATTGATATTTTGTCGTTAAGGGTCCAAGCATCAAAGGTGAATTTACTCTCTAATGCATTTATGATGCAAATTCTAAACTAACAGCCATTTCAACTGAAAGATGAAGATATTTAATTTTGTCCACTAGAGGGAGCCAGAATCTTACTAGAGGGGCACAGGATAAGGGACCTTTTAATCCCATTTTTTCTATCAGTTGCCATCTCTTTGAATGCAAATAAATGCATGGATTTAGTTCATTTGTATAAGTATGGTGTACTGACAGTATAGTGTCATATAATCAGTGTACAGTGAAATGTATATCATTAAACATTTAATTTTTAATAGACCCCAATAAAACATATTTTCAAGTTGCCAGAAATTATTAAATATATTGCTATCCATTTAAAATGAAAAGACAGTTTTATTTGTATTTTTCAAGATAACATATATTTAAAAAATGTCTATAAGACACTTATTTACCATTGTGGTCGAATAATAAAACAAACATTTAAACTGCCAGCATTATTAGACATAATTATAAATTATAAAAATGAAAGAGCCTTGAGATAAATAGTTCAGATAAAATTTTGAGCTGCAAATGATATCTTCACATTCATTTGAATTTGACATCCTATGACATGCAATTTGTCTAAATATAAAATGTTGAATATAAGTCCACACTTACACCACATATATTATGATCACATAGCTAATGAGAGTAAACATGTTTATAGGGCTTTTTCTGACTTGTTTAATCAAACCATCAAACTTTCAGTGAAGATTCAAGTTGGACTTTACTGTCGACCAGGCTCTGCATTTCCTCAACTGATACGCACCAGCCAGACAGAAGCAGTCGATCGCAGAGGCCTCCCCACTGTATCCCCCCTCTTTGTGTTTATATGTGTTTTTTAATATCTTTTTTGAGGGAAACTGTCAAGCCCTATCCCAAAGAGCAGGTACCAAAGAGCAAAAATAATGTACGCTTTCGTGCGTTTCTTGGAGGATGACATGTGCTACGCGTTACCTGTGTCAGACGTGAAAGATTTCCAGCCTGTGCACAAAAGAGATTTTTCCACACTTACACCACATATATTATGATCACATAGCTAATGAGAGTAAACATGTTTATAGGGCTTTTTCTGACTTGTTTAATCAAACCATCAAACTTTCAGTGAAGATTCAAGTTGGACTTTACTGTAAAAACCACATCATGAGATTAATTTCAGTTAGATCGCTAATCATGCACATGGGCCATTGGTGATTGGACGCTGACTATAGATTAAGTATAGATGATTGAATGATTGTTTGCTTTGGTGTTGCCACCCTTCACAGTCCTCATGCCACCCCCTTGCCACCCTAAAAATAATTTTCTAGATCCGCCCCTGTTAATAATTATGAAACTCCCTCTGGAATTTAAATACATCATATTTCAGAAATCTGAAATATATTACTATTATTATGATACTATCTTGTTTTATACTACTGTATCACTGCAATTATTATTATCATTATTAATGTTTTTTTCTATTATATATATATATATATATATAAAGCTCCAAAATAAATAAAAGCTAATTATAACATAAATTAAACCTGAAGGGTTAATCAATTTATTTTGCAAGGTATTTAGAGAGTTACATTTCTTTTTTCCAGCCTGTGCACAAAAGAGATTTTGATGATCAGAAGGTGTATGTGGTGCTGGGAGGCGCAGGCCAGCCTGCCAAAGCACACATCCTCGCCCTGGCAGGTGAGTTCTGCTCTTCTCTTCTTATTAACTATAATAATAACCTTCATAAATAACAGTAACACGCATGCTACAGTGTATAAAAGCTTAACGGTTCATCAGAAATGTCATGCAACTTTAATATAAATCATATTTGCATGTGCATGAAGCATATTTATGGCGTAATATGAGAAGTTATACAAATTATTATTTTAATATGATATGACCTGCATGAACATGCTTTAACACGCATGTATTGGGGTGTTAAGAGAAAATTAAATATATAATTTGAGTGTTTTGATGTGTTAAATGGATATAGAAGGAGAATGTCATAGATTTGATGTCTTCTTGATTGCTCTGGTGTTTTTAGCTCATCGTGATTGCGGGGTTTGTGTAATAGAGAGATGTAATAATGTCTGTGCTTGACAAGCACAGCAGTCTGAATATAAACTATAGGAACTGCGTGTCGAAAACGTCTGAATAAGTTCGTGAAAGTAGAAACGAAAGAAAAGGGTTTTAATGCAGATAGGCTCAGGATGCTAAGCGATTGTTAGCTTGCTGCTAACGCTTCCTTCATTTATCGGCGGTGCATAAAAGCTAAATCGCGGATACAATCACTGTAACACTAACAGGCTTTCTAAACTGATAAAGATACAGAAAAAGCCGATATGATAACCAGACATTTCAGAATAGTAACTGTTTGTTTTTAGCTCAAGCAGCTAGGTTACTGTCATCACATCAGCTAGCCAGGTAAGGCTTATTTTGTTTCATTTTTATTTTTACGCCCTTCAATTTGCTTGAAACCTTACGTCAGTATATTGTACTGTTAAATTATAGCCAGCATAACTTTGTCAGAGAGTTATGTGTGGTTTAAATCAGTGCTGGTGGCACATCTGTTATCATGTGGCACTTCCTGCTTCAGCTCAAGTTATGAAAACCTCCAGCCACTCTTCAGCCACGACTATTTAGATATATAACTAATTTACATGTGTGGCTCAACCTGGTCTTACAACCCTGATCTTGTTAGGGACCGAGGTCTGGAGTCCTGTACAGCTTTTAAATCAGTTTGCTTGAACTTAAGCTGTCTGCAATCTGTTGTGGCCGACCTTGAGGCTCATCTCTCATACCTGGCCAATGTAAAACTTTTAATACCTAGTTAACATTCAAGATCTTAAAATGATGATTGAGGGCATTTTCCACTTGACATGATAAGGGGTTGTTAAGTAGGCACATTTATATGGTCTGTCTTCTCCAAGTGGCCTTGGTTACTACACTGCATCACACATTGACAGCTGTGACGACCCCGCCTGTCAAAACCATATTGATGCTGTACCATCAACGTCGCTTTGCAAAGTTAAACACTCCATTAATAGTTTATTGCAACAATAGCTAGTCATCTGTGTCATTACAAGGTAACTGGGAAACTTCCCCGCCAAACTCATAAAATATTCTCTTGCTGATGTGTCCTTGTTTTAACCGTATCATTTCAGAGCAAAGAGATGAAATATTATTTGCGTCTCTGACTTGTTCCCCCTCCTCTTTTTTTAGAAAGCATTGAGGAATTTGAGCACAGTATTATGCAAAAGAAGATGAAAATACCCAAGGTGTCGAACAGGAACACAGTGGAGAATCATTTTGGTGAGGAGAGAATGCCCCTTAGATATAAAAAGGTTGGTATATAGGTTTTTAAGAAAGGTTTTAAGATTTGGAAGACTGTAAGACATTTGCAGGCTTTCTGTTACTGGTCTGGATTTGTAGATGGGGAACATGTGAACAGATCAGCTATGGCTCAATGGGGATTTTCTACTGATATTAAGAGTGTATTTTATATTCCGCAAGCAAAACAAGACAAAATACTAGAACATGTTTTGACACTTATGGAATTAGTCCTGATATTTCAAATGTTTCAGTTTAATCTGACAGTTTTAGCAAGATACCAAAAAGGCCATGTGTTTTGCTCATCGTTGGGCTTGCTGTGTTTCATTTTAGTGCCATGACTTCTTAATTGTGCAGTCCATTAAGTTTACGACCCAGCTTTGTGTGTTCCTTAATAACTTAGTGTGAGCTTGGTTTTTAATATAAACAAAGTTGGTGTATAATTTTCATTTCACAGAACATATGAGCCAGTTCAGCTCTGAACTGAATTTTCATGAGCCAGTTTAGCTCTCTTAAGTGACATTAAATATTAAAGATTTAGCAATGTTTGGTCCAGTAAGTGATTTTTTTTTTTGTTATCAGTGATAGTTTTATTAGTTTTAAAATTAAATTAGTTTTAATTTTATACAATAAAATCAGTATGTATTTTCGTGTGTATTGATACTATATGATTATTATACTGTAGAGCAGTCCAGCTTTTCAAGTTCTGTTTTATTCCAACAGTTTTATTCCAACCATGCTATAAAAGGAAAGGAACTTTACTAGACGTTGTGTTCTTCCATTCATACCCATGTGAATGTAAGCATATGAGTAGGATTTTGTGTATTAAAGTTCAAGTTTTGTGAACTCTGCCCTACAAATTTGGTTAGTTGAAACAGATTTGATCTAAGCGTTAAAGTTTGACCTCATCACTTAATATTACAATTTTAAACCATCATAGTTTACAGTGGGGAAAGTGGAGTAGATTTTTTTGTTATATATAATCTATAGTAATACATTTAAAAAGATATATATACACACACACACACTAAAAAAAAAAAGCTATGAGCTACAAGCTTTGCGAGAAGCTGTTTGGAGAGTCAGGTGTCCATGCATCCATGTGACGTCACAGTGCTGTGGTGTTCATTTTCAATAAATTGAAAAGATCAAAAGATTACTCATTAATTTTTATTTATTTATTTTTTAATCTAGCTTGACTACCCTTAGTGTATTTTGTAAGCTGAAAGATTCTCATTAGGTGTGGGAGTTAAAACTTAACTCTGGAGAAAGGTAGATAAAAAAATAAATAGTATATTATTATTTCCTTGTACGCAATTTGCACTGGTCAAGATGCTCAATGTTGTGATGCAGGTCCAGTCACAGGAACAGCATCGGGCAAGTTCCAACTCCTCAAAAAGCCTGGCTGCAGTGGTGGCACGGCTGGAGAGGAACGCTGTCAACTCATGCACAGAGGGAGAGGAGCTGGACAGACTCACAACAGAGGAAGAGGAAGAGCAAGACGAGGCCGTGGTGCCTCGTGTCCTATACGAGGAGCTGGTGCACAGCTACAAGCAGCAGGAAGAGGAAATGAGACACCTGCAGCAGGAACTGGAGCGCACACGCAGGCAGCTGCTCCAACAGGCCAAGAAGCTCAAGGAGTATGGCAGTCTGCTGACCGAAGTCAAGGAGCTGCGTGATTTCAATCGACGTCTGCAGGACGTCCTGCTCGTGAGGCTTGGCAGCGGTGAGATTTGCATGAATCATACATATCGGCAGATCAATGCTGATTCAACGAAACAGTATGCAAATGTAAAATACTTGCACCAAAATCATTGAACAGATCTGTTCGAATCTGATTCAGAATTTTGATTGTTCTCTGAATCATAGAAGTTCAGTGTTTTGATTAAAACCTAAACCCTTAAAATGCATCTGTATTGTAAATTCATACTGAACAGGCCTTGACATTGATTTTCTGATTAGTATAGTCAGGACTATCCATTTTAAAATGCTTGCTTTACAATGCAGTTTTGCTGGTTAGCATTTTTTAAGGCTTCATAGAGCTGTTTTTACACTTAGTACAAAAGCAGCAATTCCTTGTCAGCTTTAAGTAGGCAATAGTGAGTGACATATTTAGTGTCCAATTCACTGAAGACAAGATCTAGGACTTACTACATCTTCAGACAGCAATTTAAATGTGCTCTTGTGTAATTTCTAGGGCTGTCAGTCAATTAAAGTGTTCATCATTTGATTAATTTGATAATTATTTAGCATAGCAAGTTCTTACTTAATATTCAGCATATCAAGTCATTAATTATGTCATGTAATTATGGTATTAATTAACTTAATCAAATTAATCGCATACATCAATATTTGCTGAGGATAGCCTCCAAATGAAGATAATTCGTAGTCATTATATCATTGCGGATGAAAACGTTGAATAGACTTTACAAAAAGTGACTTTAGTCAATATATTGTATTATATTGTAATTTCATATTATTAAATATAAGTCTATCCTCCTGCAGTCCACAGCAATCCATTTTGCAATCTACAAGACACTTTTTTTGTGCATGTAAAAATGCTAGACTGTCTTTGGCCATTGCATTTATTATGTTTTTTTTTAGCATCTCTATAATTAATTGTACTAAATTAGCATGTTAAATTGGCAGCCCTAATAATTTAATGATTTTGATGTTATCGTTGCATTTTCCACATTGTTCTGAGCTGCAGGGACTAATAAACCACTCAGATGAAGACTACAGTACAGGCTGCTTAAAGAGGACATAGTGTTCAGAGCGCTCAGGCCTGTGTGTGTGTGGGGGGGTGCGAAACAGACTGTCTGGAGCGAGCTGGTGGAGCAGGCTGAAGATTAGACCGGCCAGGGTTCTTTAGGGTCAGACGTGCAGTGCACTGACCGATATTAAAACTCAACAGATACATTAGAGCTTAGTGCGGCCAGCTTACTGAGCTAAAATGACCCGGTTGTCTTGAGGCATGGGAGAGCCATGTTTCAGGCAGCGCTCCAAAGGGAGCGGGGGTCAGGACTTACTGCGGCCACACTGGACTGATTTCAAAACTGTCATTAGAGAGAGGGGAACGTCTGCCGTCAACACTTTCTCAGGATTACACTCATCTTTCTTCTGTTAAACTGTGCTTCACTGAACAGTGAGCAGTGTTTTGCTTTGCTTCATACAGAGCCGATGCACGACAATGGCACACAGACAATCAAAGCAGAGGTGGTGGAGCCGGTCAGTGAACCACAGGAGGTGTGTCAAGAGGAAGCCAACACTAGCTCCACCCACTCCCCATCCCCGAGAACCGTCTACACCTTCAATGATGGAAAAGTATGTAATCCTGTGTGTGTTTTTACTGTCTTTTCAATTTTCAGTTTTTCTGATTCTTAAACAACCCTTAAAGTCATGACGCCCAATCTCACTTTATTCTAGCCTTTTTAGCAGAAAAGCAGCCCATACACTACCATTTAAAAGTTTGCAGTCAGTATGTTTTTAGTTGTTTTTGAAAGAAATTAATACTTCTATTCACCAAAGATGCGTTAAGTTGATCAAAAGTGACAATTAAGATTTTTAAGAAATCTTACAAAAGATGTCTCTTTAAAATGTATGTTGTTCTTTTAAACATTCTATTCATTAAAGAGTCAGGAAAAAAAGTTATCACGTTTTCACTATAATAAGCAGCACAGCTGTTTTCAACATCTTACTGACCCCAAACTTTTGAACGGTAGTATATATTATGTATATCTAACACCTCATTCTATATATTTATTAAATAACAGCATGTCAATTGTGATGAGACCTTCCAAAGTTATGGTCATCGTTGATATTTACTTGATCGATACAGGCATTATTCACGGCTATCGTGACTTGACTTTGGTCATTAGTTCAAAACAGACAGTATTCCAGCCACTCTTGTTGTATAAACAAGACAATTCAGTGGTTCGGATGCTCCTCATGTTAGCGCAATTCAGTGTTTCTTTTAATGTTTTGCAGTGGTTGGGTTTGTCTAATTGACTAGCGAAATCCCTTCTACAACCTTCCCCCCCATCAGTCTCAAAGGGCCTTTTAACCAGAATGCTTGCTGTAATTTTGAGCCCTGTTAGCAGACATCGGGTCCTCGTTTTGCGTTTTTCCGCCTGCCTTGCATGACGGGGGAATTTGTGTTACATGCTGAAAGGGTTCTCAGTTCAAGCGTGAAGAACAAAAGCAAATTAGGCCCTTACACAAACGCACACATATCCGGCATTAATTTTAACATTTTTAATGTTATTACATTTTCCACATAGTTCTGAGCTGCAGGGACTGATAATTCACTCAGATGAAGACTACAGTACAGGCTGCTTAAAGAGGACATAGTGTTCAGAGCGCTCAGGCCTGTGTGTGTGTGGGGGGGTGCGAAACAGACTGTCTGGAGCGAGCTGGTGGAGCAGGCTGAAGATTAGACCGGCCAGGGTTCTTTAGGGTCAGACGTGCAGTGCACTGACCGATATTAAAACTCAACAGATACATTAGAGCTTAGTGCGGCCAGCTTACTGAGCTAAAATGACCCGGTTGTCTTGAGGCATGGGAGAGCCATGTTTCAGGCAGCGCTCCAAAGGGAGCGGGGGTCAGGACTTACTGCGGCCACACTGGACTGATTTCAAAACTGTCATTAGAGAGAGGGGAACGTCTGCCGTCAACACTTTCTCAGGATTACACTCATCTTTCTTCTGTTAAACTGTGCTTCACTGAACAGTGAGCAGTGTTTTGCTTTGCTTCATACAGAGCCGATGCACGACAATGGCACACAGACAATCAAAGCAGAGGTGGTGGAGCCGGTCAGTGAACCACAGGAGGTGTGTCAAGAGGAAGCCAACACTAGCTCCACCCACTCCCCATCCCCGAGAACCGTCTACACCTTCAATGATGGAAAAGTATGTAATCCTGTGTGTGTTTTTACTGTCTTTTCAATTTTCAGTTTTTCTGATTCTTAAACAACCCTTAAAGTCATGACGCCCAATCTCACTTTATTCTAGCCTTTTTAGCAGAAAAGCAGCCCATACACTACCATTTAAAAGTTTGCAGTCAGTATGTTTTTAGTTGTTTTTGAAAGAAATTAATACTTCTATTCACCAAAGATGCGTTAAGTTGATCAAAAGTGACAATTAAGATTTTTAAGAAATCTTACAAAAGATGTCTCTTTAAAATGTATGCTGTTCTTTTAAACATTCTATTCATTAAAGAGTCAGGAAAAAAAGTTATCACGTTTTCACTATAATAAGCAGCACAGCTGTTTTCAACATCTTACTGACCCCAAACTTTTGAACGATATTATATGTATATATAAACTTACACCTCATTGTATTTATTTATTAAATAATGGCGTGTCAATTGTGATGAGACCTTCCAAAGTTATGGTCATCGTTGATATTTACTTGATCGATACAGGCATTATTCACGGCTATCGTGACTTGACTTTGGTCATTAGTTCAAAACAGACAGTATTCCAGCCACTCTTGTTGTATAAACAAGACAATTCAGTGGTTCGGATGCTCCTCATGTTAGCGCAATTCAGTGTTTCTTTTAATGTTTTGCAGTGGTTGGGTTTGTCTAATTGACTAGCGAAATCCCTTCTACAACCTTCCCCCCCATCAGTCTCAAAGGGCCTTTTAACCAGAATGCTTGCTGTAATTTTGAGCCCTGTTAGCAGACATCGGGTCCTCGTTTTGCGTTTTTCCGCCTGCCTTGCATGACGGGGGAATTTGTGTTACATGCTGAAAGGGTTCTCAGTTCAAGCGTGAAGAACAAAAGCAAATTAGGCCCACATACGCACACATATCCGGCATTAATTATTTGTACCACAGGAATTGCCCTGAGTGACAGGTAGCCGTAGAAAAGCAAATCTCCTCTAAGTTAAGAGAAGCGAAAAGCTTGTCTGCTGGACCAGGGCCTAAAGCACATTAGTTGCATTGGGGAAAAGCTGCTGGATCTGAGCCTGAAGACTGCTCAGGGTGACAAAGCAGAAGGCACAATACCTCAGCTGTTACTCACCAGCTGCCCATCAATCCACCTGATGGCTTGTTGGGCTGTGTCCTCCACAGTGTGGCTTAAAAGTCAACACTCTCGTCTGGCATTTGTCAAAACGCATTACTGCATTTAATGAACCCAGACACCTCGCCGCTGAATTTATGTGTGACGCGTCTCTCATATGTGGTTGTCGGTACCTAGGTCTCAGAGGGTATGCGGCAGGGTTTGTGTCGTTGCATACCACAAAACACAAAAAAACACCAGGACCTTCACTGGACAGGGTTCCTGCAGTCATGGATAATTTGTCAAAAGTAATTTCAATAATGATTATATATTTTCTAGTTATGCTTTGTGCTAAAATATTTCATCAGCTAATTATTGCTCTTGAGTAGTAAAACTTGGCTTGCAAGCATCTATAAAAGGTCATGGATAATCATTGGTCAAAAGTTTTTTTTTTGTTTTTTTTTTTATAATAATAATAGGGATCATGAAAATGTATTTAGTTTTTTTATTTAGTATTACCTTGATAAAGCCCTTGTGATATAACATAATATAATGCAGACAGTAATAATACATATATATATATATATATAAAAAATAATCACAGATTTTTTTGAACAGTGGAAGGGACGCTGGGAGACCTGTGTGAGGTCCCAAGGTGCCTACTTTGAAGGGGACTGAGGCGTTATTGTCCTATTTACAATGTTTCTTGTTATCTTGTATCTTCTTTGAAAAATGTCTCTATTTTTCATATTACATGGCTGGAAACTTTCCGGACAGCCCTCGTATATATTTGTATTTTGGAATTAACTTGAAATGTATGGTTTCTATAGGCATAATCATCAATTTTAGATGTATAGTTTTATATTTCTCTATCGTGCAAGGTTTATGTAAACTTGTAGGCACAACTGTACAACATCCAACGCAAAAGCTGTTAACAAGCTTGAATCTGAATTAACACAGAATGTTGCATTTCATCCTCCATAAACAGAGCTGTTTTATTCATTGTGAAGGGAAAGCTACCATGTCTCAGACACAAAGCAAAATCTTGTCTGTGATAGTTTGTATATTAGGCATATTTGAAGAAGTGTGTGTCTCCTGCAGGTGCACTTGGGTGGAGGGATTTGGGTGGAGGAGGAGAAGTGGCACCAGCTACAGCGGACACAGGGAGACTCGAAATTCACCAAAAACCTGGCGGTGATGATCTGGGGCACGGAAACCCTGAAGAACCGCAGCGTGACTGGCGTCGCTACGAAGAAGAAGAAAGATGCCCTGCCCAAACCACCGCTCTCACCAAGCAAGCTCAAAATTGTTAGAGGTAAACACACTAACTTTAAAAATAATTGTTATTAAAATTAAATGAAAGATTAGGTTGGGGTTATATTTCTGGTTTTGTTAATAGAAGTTTTATAATTTGAAGAATTGTTATTGTTAAACGAATTTTAGCTTCCAGAACCAGTAACGATTTCAATATCACAGCAGCAACTAATGTGGTATTTAAATAAGTTGAACTTAAATATTTTTAAAATGCAAACAAAAAAACTGAAATTAGAAGGAAAAACAAGATGGGCAAGGGAAAAAAATTCTGTTTTCTTTGCTAATTTCTAGTCTTAATATTTCGTTCCAGAGTGTCTGTATGATCGTGTGTCTCAAGAAACAGCTGACAGCGCAGAGATCACCCAGCGATTATCCAAAGTGAACAAATACATCTGCGAAAAGATCATGGATATCAATAAATCTATCAAGAACGAGGAACGACGAGAGTCCAAGCTTCTCATCCAGCAGACGGTGAAGATGGAGAACTTCCCCTATGACGGTCTGTAGGGGGCGATGAAGTTGTCACTATAGCTCATTCTACTCCTCAAGGACTTCTGGTGAACAAGGTGCACATAATCACCGGCGCTGCCAATTGAGATTTCCGCTGATGCCCTCCCAAGACCTCTCTGTCTTTTACTCTCGTAGACCCTGTTTTACAGCCTGTCTGACAGTTTTAGCTCTCTCCGCACTGCCTTAGCATGCTGGTGTGCATTCTGTGAGTGAATGGGGCGGGTTTTTGTAAGCTTTAATGGGGGATCTCGGGGTGGGTCGGATATTATGCCTGATAGACAGGAGCGATCCTTTAAATCGTGTGAGAGAAAAATGTGTTTGGCACATCAGCTTGTGTTCTGTGTCAGAACATGTCCTAATGTACTAAAGAGGTTTCCCTTCTGAAAAAGTGTTCTCGTTTCAGGAGGATGTTTGCGAGGTGTCATAAATGCTGGCTTAGTGTCGGAGTCTTAAGGGGGGGTAGGTCACTTCACAGGGACCATCTGCTAAAGGTACTTAACATAAAGAGTTGCACTTTTAAACAGGGTCACACTCTGCGTCATCTTAATGAACGATTGATTTAATTAATCAATCTAGGCCTAATTGCTCCCGTTAATTGCTTTCCTGAGATGACTACTGATGGTCTGTTCTTGTTCTAGATTGTTGTTAGGGGTGGAAAGGTCGCATGTAGTCAGTGGTGCTAAACAGTTGTCCTGGAAGATGAATTAGCAGCGTTTCTTTGGAGGTAAGCCACAAAAAGGTGATCAAATTGCTCTTAAAAGTTAAATTTAGACTTTTTACGATCATCAGTAGACTTCTTATGTTTGCTTTAGACTATGCCTTCAAGTCCTGTTGGGAAATCCCTGTGGTGTAGAAGTTGTAATTACGATGACTTGTATTCAAGTCACTTACACTACTGTTCAAAAGTTTGGAGTCAGTAAGATTTTTTTTCCTTTATGTTTTTAAAAGAAAATACAGTAAAAACTGTAAATTTGTGAAATATTATTACAATTTAAAATGACTGTTTTCTATTTTAATACATTTTAAAATGTCGTTTATTCCTGTGATGACAGAGCTGAATTTTCAGCAGCCATTACTCCGGTCTTCAGTGTCACATGATCCCTAAGAAATCATTCTAATATGCTGATTTGGTTGCTCAAGAAACAATTGCTACTGTTAACAATATTGAAAACAATTGTGAAACTTAATATTTTTGTGTGAACTGTGATACATTTTTTCAGGGTTCATTGAGGAATAAAAAGTTTTTAAAAATCTACATCTATTTAAAATATAAATATTTTTGCTGAATAGAAGTATTTATTTCTTTAAAAAAAAAAAATCTTACTGACCTTTTGAATGCATTGGGTAAAATTTGGGGCCTGAAGAAAATGCCTCCAGTAATTCAGATACACTTTATAAATACATTTTGTCTGATTCAACTCTGAAGAAAGTATTTTAATGCCATATTTTGAAATATACATAAATTCTTATTATTGGAGATGTCTTGTTGTGTACAAAAGCACCAGAGTTGACAACAATGCAGTAAAAATGACATAAAGTATCAAATAACGATTCTTGTAAACAATAAGAGCACATCCAATTTGATTTCAGTGTACTTGATGGACTAGCCATGGGACAGGAGTTATTGTATTATCGGGTCTGCAGAGATGGAGACCACCTAAGACCTTTTACCAGCCGTAAATTGCACTTGGAACGGAGGATAAGTGGAAATCAGAGCTGGGCTGCAGGGCCTTTTTCCAGCTGGCAATCATTGGGAACTGTGTTCTCCGTTTTATAGCAAGCTGTGATTGTAATATGAGCTGATATTGCGTTAACTGCACTTTGGTGTGAGTGTGGAGAGATGCCAGGCGCCATGTGTGGATGTGGGGTAAAACTGTCAGCAGTGCTCGGGAGTTACACATTAGCCTCATCCTTCTGGTCTTACCAACAGCAGGGTCTCAACTTCAGCCCACCTGTAGAGGGTGCACTCATTAGGGGAGGAAATAAGATATCGTGACAACTTAAAATGAGCCATGCCATCCACACTTTAGTCCTTTGCCGTCTTTATTTTCATCACAAAACGTTTAGAAATAAAGACCCTCTTGCAGATTTGGGTTCTTGACTGTGATGCCATATCGCTTACTGTGAATTAACCACAGATCTGCCTCGCAAAAGCCTCCCTACTTCTTATTCTCTCTCTTTTTAAAAAAATCAAGTACATTTATTAGTGGGGAGAAAATTTCAGTGTATATTTGGAATATATTCTCATGTTTATGAACATTTCATCGTTTGCATCCAGGCTGCACCTTATCTCACTAAGCTGGTTCAAAATCGAGTCAGACAATGTTATATATAGTTTATTATAATTTCTACTTTTACAGTGTATATGTGACGTTTCGATATTAACGTAGATCCTGGGTACTCATATTTCTCAAAGAATGCAGGGCTCTTCACGAATACATCATCTCTAATGACAGAAACCCATATCTTAAATTGATACTATCATGGATTTTTTTTTACCGCAGGTATCTCGATGCTTCAAGAACTTCAATTTATAAATTTCACCTCACTGTGAGTCATTTGTTATGGACTATCATTTCATTTGGAGTCATTTCCGTCGAGAGGCAGCCGTCGCCCGCCTTTCCGTTCCGAGGAAGTCATTGTCCATCTTTGACAGCGTAGCACTTTAATCCTAAGGAGAAAAAAAAAAGGTATAAAAATCCATCAATGTTGGCTACTTTGTTGTGATTTACCCAAGCCAATTAAAAAAAGAAGTCAACATAAACATTTAACAATGCTTGTGAAAAGACATTCACAAGAAAACCTGAATCAGCTATCAGTTTTCTGCCACTCAATAGCAGTTTAGCAGCCATTTGTTTCTCATTCTCTCGAGCATGTGAAAGCGATTCCTTTTTTTCTTTCTTACAGCGACGTACCTCCAATATGTCAAGGCAATTACGAGAGAGGACAGATTGTAATAAGGTTCTTTTGTTCCACTGAAAGTCTTTCTCTTCTTTTTTTTCCTGTAGATATTTCCTGTATTGTGTGATATGTATTGCCACACTTATTGAATATTTGATGTTCCATAATGAGCGTACGTACTGTGTGGGTATACTGGAAAATGACAGTTTTAGGTGTGCAGAGGTTGAATGATAGCAAAACTTTATCATCGGTCCATGTGGTCATACTTTTTATGTGGAGATTTACTAGTGAAATCGTTGCCTTGAAAAAGACTATAGCGTTATGTATTGCTCTTTTGTTTTTGTTTTGTTTTTTGTTGTTGTTTTGCCTCGCTGCTGCTCCGAGACTAAATTCGGGCAAGGAGCTGTTGAGATCCGAGGAAAATTAAAAATTTAAAGTTTCTACAGTTGTGAGATCAAACCAGTGAACCCATCAGGGAAAATCCGACTTTTAAATACAATCATGTACAGTATTTATAGTCTAAAAGGCTACAAAAGCGAAGCAGTAGCCTCACAGAGGCTGTGTTTTTCTCTTCTGGGAGACTGTGGTGAGGCTGGTGCCTATGCTTTCAGTGACTGTGTAATAGCGGTGCTTAGCTTTGAGCTGGTCTCTGCCTGTGGAAAACGGCAAGTCCGGTGCAAAGCGCATGAGGGATCAACATATCATCTGAGTTGTTCTCTGCGTATTGTCCAAGAGATGTTTGGTTGTGTCAAATGAGTTTCGTCCAGTCTGAATGTGTGTTGGGGGTTTGTGTCGTTCTGTTGAAAATAAGCCAAAGTGGAATCTCGGCAACGGACAGTTTTTGATATAAGTCTTATAAGTATGAACTTGCACAAAAACAGCCCCTGCTAAGGTTGTCCACAGTTATCTAAGCTAAACCAACAGGAAAGAAACAGCCGGAATATATTTTTACTGATTTTACAAGGTGTTGCTGTGCTGTCGACATCTTCGTTGTCTGATTTATGTTGTTTTCTGTTCTGTATCAAAAGAGAATTAAGCTTTAGATAATGGATATGGCTATATTGTTCAGATTGAAAAATCTTACTTTTTTTTTTTTTTTTTTTTTTAAGTTGATACTTAAAGATGAAAACTTAACTTGAAGTTTTGTTTTGTTTTTGTTTTTTACAAAAAATGTCTTGATAAAAAAAAAAAAATGTATTTATCCCTTAAAATTATGATTTTGGCTTGTTTCGTTTAAAAGGTCTTGACTTTGCTTCTTTATGATGCCAAAAAAAGTAGTGTGCGGACGTTCTTGGGGGAGAAAAAAAGTTAGTATTGCTTCGGTCTGCTTCACTAACCTACATTCTGAGGTTGTCAATCAAATGCTGAGGACCTGCCCACATGCCACAGCAATTCCAAAAACTGCCCAGTATTCCGCTATAGCAAGAACGGCAACTTCCTGTTGCTGTGTCACTTTTTTCATGATCACAATTACAATAAAGAACCCTACTCAGAGTCAGTCTTATTTAACAAACTCTTCTCAGCTCTACTAGTGAAAGAAATGTATTTTTGATACAACACAAGTTCAGGTTATTCTTAGTCTGAAAACAAGCATGTAGAGTCACAGTCCTACCTCATTGCTGTCTCGTCACCCTCGTACCTCGTTCAGATATATATATTTATGTGTGTGTGTGTGTGTGTGTGTGTGTGTATATGTATGTATGTGTGTGTATATATATAGTCCTACCTCATTGCTGCTCATCGTCTGTGTTCCTAAGACAGTCTCGCCACCCTCGTACCTCGTTCAGAGATATATATCAGTCTGTATGGTATAGATTCATTTCAGATATTGTATTTTACTCCCTTAACAACTGTGTTAATGTTTCTGTGGCAGTAGATAGTGTTTCCTTGCAGTAATTACATTTTTATCCCATTGATGGTGCTACAGCAGGCATGGGTTGTCTAATCTGTGTTATTTACCTCAGATGGTGCTAATTTTTCTACTTTTCTGGAGGTCGTTCCGCTTTGCATGAATAAAACTGGTTAATGTTAATTTCCTAGCAGCAGGAATTTGGGGATAAAAATAAAGCATCAGATAAAATCTTAGGAATTGCATCCGGCATGTCGTAAAAATTTAGTTTTTCATATTTCGAGTAAGACATACCTCTCTAACAAATTACCTCACATACTCTGTTCCAAATTAACAGACTATTAAAACCGTGCACGCAGGATCTATCCGTGGCCATATAACCTTGTCTTTTTTTATTGTACAATACAAACCTAATGCTGGAGTAAGAAACCTGATAATCCAAACCATCTACCTAAATATTACTGGGCAGTTGACTCTCACAATGTGGTCCTCAGCAGTTAATGTGAAAGTCTATCCCACTGTAGAAATACAGTGCAACTAACATGGTAGTCTTACTTTTGGTGATGGTGGTGATATTTTGCAGTATGTTAACTGTAGAGGCTTTTCTTAACTTGCCAAAGTGGTTCCCTCTCAAAGAAACTCTTTGTTGTTGTCGTTAAGAACTGTTTGGGAACAAAGTCTCCAATTTGCGTTTCAGTCCAGCAAAAACAGTCTCAGAAATATGGGTGCATTGAGCGACTGCCACTCAGTGGAACGTAAATTAGTCCGTCCACAAAAATACAATCAGTCGTGGGTATCTGTGACATTTTTTATTAATACAGACAGTTGATTCATTTAGAGCATGTAACATGACAACTGAAGGCAAACTGTGTGATTTTGTTTGCGAACACTTTCCTGTCGAGACGTTTTTGATAGTTCTGCGTCATGTGAAGCAAATATGTCATGGGCTTCATGAACTGACCTCAAGACCAGACAGTGAGTTCGGAAATTGATCATATTGCATTTAAATCGGAACATTTTGCATTTTCATTTCACTTTTTGTGTCTTTATCATGTCTGTCATCTCTTCATTCTTGCTGCTGAATAAATATCTAGAAACCTATATATATATATATATATATTTGAGTCTGACTCTACGGGGACTCAAACAGAGAACAAGGATAGAAAGACAATGGAAAGCGAAATCAAATGTTTCCACGTGAACCAGTTGCACTCCTCACCTGTGCACAGCTGGTTTTGCAGGTTAACATCAGTCGTGTGTGTGTGTGTGTGTGCGCGTGTGTGTGCACGCACGTGTGTGCTGCAGTCTGAGTACTCTTGTCAATGTACAGATCAGCAGAATAAATTCAGAGTTTTATTCTACAAACAAACCTTCTCAGTGTGAACTGTTTTCTTTTTCACAAAAAAAAAAAAGAAAGAAATCTTGAGTTGATACCATAACCTGGACATGTTTTAAGTTTAAAAATAAATAAATCTGTCCGACCTCAAATATTTGAATGGTTATTTATATATTATGGCTAGAGATAGATAGATAGATAGATAGATAGATTCACTAAGGCTGCATTTATGTGATCCAAAATACAATTAAATAAATAAATAATACAAAACAATATTGTCACACGGTCCTTGATAAATTATTCTAATATGCTGGAACATTATTATGAATGTTGAAAACAATTTTGATGCTTAATTTTGAGAACTTTTTTTATGGTATTCCTCTATCTATCTATCTATCTATCTATCTATCTATATATATATATATATATATATATATATATGAAGTTTAAAAGAACATTTTGAAATATAAATCTTTTGTAACAAATGTCTTTACTCACTTTTGATCAGTTTAATGCATCCTTACTGAATATAAGTATTAATTATATATAATAATACAGGTGCATCTCAATAAATTAGAATGTCGTGGAAAAGTTCATTTATTTCAGTAATTCAACTCAAATTGTGAAATCTCAACAAATTAGAATATGGTGACATGCCAATCAGCTAATCAACTCAAAACACCTGCAAAGGTTTCCTGAGCCCCCCTCATATAAATAACAATATTATACAAAACAAACAATGTAATACATAATCTGAAACCAAAAAGGCATAGAATTTTAATTCACTGTATATTCATACGTATTCTCAGCATATCAGTCTATTCACACTATAGTTCTATGAAAATAAAGAGTGTTTAACATCACTCAGCACTGCTTACTACCTATATGAGGTGTATAATGTGGATTCTGGAAGATCAGCCAGCCCCATCCTGTGTCCTTGACTTGATTGGACACAGACACGCACATTCACAGGAGGGATGTTGATGTTTGTGTTTGATGTGTGGAGTTGAAGTGAGAAAGACTGCGAATGGGTTCAGGATTAAAAGCAAGATTGATCTGAGTGTCAAGAAAGATAAGCACACTGCCCTGTCTGAGTTATTGAGGAGGCGTGACATTGATATCAGACCACACACACGATTAGAATTTCAGGTTGCATTGAGCTCTTGTAATAAATGAGAATGTCAAAAACCTATTCTAATATTAAATGAGCAATTATACCCAGATGATGGAGTTGGAATCACCAGCTTGCTGGAAACTTTTTCCAGGGTTTCCCAGAATCTCAAAGATCTTTCATAGATCCTTAAAACATTTTTGACTGAACAAACTAGCAATTATCTGTCATGGAGATAACAGTCTTCCTTAAGTATTTAACACTTCCACTGCTCGCTCAATCTCAAATCTTTTCAAGCTGCTAAGCACTTTTCTGCCAAATGGTCTTGCCTACCTATGCATTCTTTCTCTCTCTGTGTATTTCTCGCTCACTCCATCAGCCCAAGGGGACTGCTGAATGTCATTAAAAATAAGTATCCACATGACTGTAATATTTTGCAGTGGTGTTATTGACAGAGAGATGATTTAGTGTAGTAATGATGGATTGAGCTGGGCGTCAGGGCCGGCACATGCAGGGACGTTTGTTCACTGCAGAGACATTTGCTCCAATTCCC